TCCAGCTAGCCAAAGAGAGCACTGTTCACTATGGGCCCTGATTCCTTCTGTTCTGCCTTTGTCCTCACTTCACACCTGTTCCATCACTGCCCATGCTGAAGTCTTGGTCTCCAAACCTTACCTACCTGACTCCCTAACCCAGCCTCCCTCAGTCAGTCTCATTCTGAGATACAGCAGTATTAACTTCAGGTGGAAAGAAATGTGTTTTGTTTTACCACTTAAATCTCTAGTCCAGAAATGGTCTGGACTTGCAGATTGGACTGCACTTGCAGATAGGCAGAATGTCACCATTTCTTGAAGAGATAAGGAGAGGTAGAAAAGACAAGAGGAGGAAGAAGGTTATACATAGGAGGGCGCTATAGAGGGCTCACCAACAGCTGACACTCAATGATACTAATATCAACTCATACCCCAACCTAGATAAATCAGATCAGAAAACTTGTTGAATGACTATTTGGAAGACTTATGCAGTGATCAACAAAGAACAGTTAATGCTCCTTTACATGGTAAACTGATATATATACTGTTGTTTTTAGTTGTTTCAGTCAAGTCTGACTCTTAGTGACCCCTTTTTGTGGTTTTCTTGGCAGAGATTTGAATGCAGGTCTTCCTGACTCCTGACATACACACACACACACGGAGATGCACACGCTACATAAATTTCACTAAAATAGACATTGTCATGACCTTCTTGAGGGGATGGTAGAAAACTGTTGCTTAATTTCAAACTGCCTGTGGATAGTAATACATGAGAAAATAATGTCCTCACACAATGGTTCTTAACCTGGGGTTTGTGAACTTTTTTAAAATATATTTTGATAACTATTTCAATGTAATCGGTTTCCTTTTAATCTTATGCATTTTATTTTATCTATTTAAAAACATTACTCTGAGAAGACTTCACCAGAATGTCAAAATGATTCAGGACACAAAAAAGTTTAAGAACTTCTGCCCTAAGCAACAGAGGCTCTGGGTTAGGATGTAAATACACACACACACACACACACACACACACACACACACACACACCCCCAAGCTACTTGAGCTTTTCAAATGAAAAACTCAAGAGGTTTGGTAATATTGAATGAAGAACTGTAAACAATGGTTGGCTTACTTAATATTGGGGAAATTGTTTATCTTGCATTCCTTATTTATATTATATTATTATAACTAAGACTTATTTTGACACACACATACCCAAAAGAGTTTTTCATTGAAAATTAAGTGATCAAAACAGGGTAATTAATACAGGCTATTTCTTTTTTTTTTCTTCCATTTTTTTTTTCTTTTTAGGCAATTGGGGTTAAGTGACTTGCCCAGGGTCACATAGCTAGTAAGTGTCAAGTGTTTGATCTGAAGCCAAATTTGAACTCAGGTCCTCCTGACTTCAGGGCCGGTGCTCTATCCTTTTATTTGCTAGGTAATGGGGTTAAGTGACTTGCCCAGGGTCACACAGCTAATGAGTGTTATGTGTCTGAGGCCAGACTTGAACTCAGCTCCCCCTGACTCCAGGGCCAGTGCTCTATCCACTGTGCCACCTAGCTGCCCCAATACAGGCTATTTCTAAAGCAGCTTAATCTCTGTTGAAAAAAATGATGCAATTTGAGAAATCTGGGCTGTTAAAGGGCGCTTCAGGCAGAGCAGATAGATACCTCTAACAGTATTAGAATCACAGATTTAGAGCTGGTAGTGACCTTTAAGATCAGCAAGTCTATGAGGCTTCAATTTGACAAGTGATAAAACTTAGGCCCAGAGAGTTTAAACCACCTGCCCAAGGTCACACAGCTAAGAAGTGGCACAGATAGGGTTCAAACTCAGGTCCTCTTAACTATAATTCCAGTTCCCTATTGCCCCATGCTTCACTTTCATCTGAACAAAAGAAGGAATAATGCACACACACACACACACACACACACACACACACACGTTTGCACGCGCATTGTTGGGTACGGATATATATTTCATTTAACAGGGAACTAAGAAGGAAAGAAGAGATCTTACATCTTATTTAATCCACAGTTCTCTTTCAAGTGTGTGCATTGATTGATGTGAAAGATTTTTAACACCTAGACTAATTTCCAATTTAATTTCATCAATCTAGTAAACTAGCCATCCCCTGAGACACCAACACACTTTGAATGAAAGATTTGGTTAAAAAAAGTATACACACATATGAATACAGATGTGTATGTATATATAACATAAATTATGTGTATATATGCACATGTAATATGTATATATACATGTATTTTGCATGTATACAGGATGTCCCAAAAGTGTTAGTGCTGTTAAGTTATGAAAGCTTAAAACAGCACTAAGACTTTTGGAACACTCAGTATAATGTCAGACGTCTCTCTGATAACTTTGGAAAAGAAGACTAACCCAAAAGGAAAATGAAATCTAGCCCTCAAATCTCACTGGAGCTCCAGAGCCCTCAATGTAATCAGGAAAATGTGCAGGTCATGAATCCAGTTCTACAGGGCTTAAAGCCCTAGGGTCCTCAAGCCTCTTTCAAAGTAACCATTTTGCACATTTTATTAAAAGATACTCCCTTCCCCAAAAGAGAAAAAGCCCCATATATTATAAGATTGAAATAATAGCATCATTTCAACTTTTTGCTTAAAAATTTTTTCACAGTTTCTCATTTTCTCTGGCTCTTGCTTCAAAATGCAAGTATCCCTAGAAGAGGTCCCATTTTAAGCTTTTATCAGCTAACATATTAATGAAAAATGAGCAACGTATCCAGGACTAGTAGGAATGGGGTGATAGAAACCTAAATCTTCTCTGTACAAAAGCCTGCAAAAGGCCTTCCTTATGTTGCCAAATAAGCAAAAAGAGCAGTATATTATACTATGTGGTGTTGGACTTGGAGCCAGAATCCTGAATGATCAGATGACTCCTTGGAGAAAAGGTTACCACCACCCTGCCTCAATATGATGGCACTTTAAGACAAAGTTCTGGTGGTTCCTACTTGGCTGAGTTAAAAATTAAATCCATGTCAAATATCCTGAAAAGCTGGGGTGGGGTTGACAAGTTGTTATTCTGGCAGAATCTATGCCTCTAGTTCCATATAATTAAAGAAAGCTTTGTGAAGTAGGATTTTGAATTTAGAAAACTTTGTGTGGAAACACACAAAAATAAGATAAGATAAAATAAAATAAAAATAAGATAAGATAAGAGAAATAAGATATTCTAGGTGCCTCCAAAAAAAAAAAAAAATGAGTGGAGATGTGAGTGGCAGATCTGTGAGGTGCTAAAGAAGGGTCTTTCCTATATAAGGGGTAAAACAACGGATGAAGACCTGAACGTTTTCATTCATTTAGCAAACATTTATTAATCATCATATGCTCCAAGCACTTATCTCAGTGTATGTAACATGGTATAGTAGCTATCATGCTAGACTTTAAGTCATGAAGACTTGGGTTCAAATCTAACCTCAGATGTTAGTGTCTATGGTACCCTGAACAGGCCACTTAACCTTTTTCAGCCTCAGTTTCCTCATCTGTAAAATGGAGATAATATCTGTAGATATTAAAAGGTTGTTGTCAGTCAATAATGTAGGTATAGTCCTACGTGAATGTCAAGTTATTATCTGTATCTATAAAATGGATATAATAACACACCCTCAATCCCACAGGATTATTATAAGCTTTCAGCTATATAAATGTGAATTCTTGTACAGTGCACATTCCAGGCACCCGAAGAAAGAACAAAGAAAAAGACAATGCATTCACGGACTCACAGAACTTGGAAGAGAAAAAGATCATTCAGTTTATTCTCAGAACAGTTTTTAAAGGCATACAAATCTCCACTCTGCATCTGCTGCCTGGCCAAAGTTTCAACTCCGCTGAACGAGATGCACACCGCCGCCGCCCCCCATCCCACCTCTTTACCGACTCCTTTTGTCTGCTTTCTCTGTGCACCCCTCCCATTAGATTGTAAGCTCCTACAGGGCAGGGCCGACTTTCTTTTTATTAATTGTATCCCTAGAACTTAGCACAGAGTCTGGCACGTAAAAGGCGCTTAATAAGTATTTATTGGATTGGAAAATAAAATACACAGCATTACCAAGGAAACCAATTATGCTGAAATAGTTATCAAAATATTTAAGTATATATAACCCAGGTCCTCTGTGTCCAAACCCAGAGCTCTTTAATCTAATACAAGACAAGTACACGAATCATGACAACCCAAAGCAGTGTATTATTCCTGCCGCAACAAGAGATACAAAGTGACGCAGGAATTCAATGGAGTGACGTCTCCTTTCGGACCCAAGCCTGGGTCAGGCTGGTCTACATTTCTGGAAACTTCACCCCATGCTTCCTCCGGGGAGCTCGGGGAGATGGGTTCTAATTCTTTCCATTTCTAACAAGTCCTTCAGCAGGACTCTTCAAAACACCTAGCAGCTTTCCAGTAAAACAACACCCGGGGGTGCCAACACAGACGACACGGCCGCGGAGGCAGGTGGCTAAAGAGAACTTTAGCTCTCCTGCACGGACAGACACTTTAGCTGTCCCGAAGGACTGGAGATCTCCAGCACTCAAATACTCCCCTCCAGAGCAGCAGAAGCCACAAATCCAGATGATTATCTGGACAACAACAAAAGTTGTTCTCGGGCCGAACCTGGTAATTCATTAAATTGCCAGTTGCCTGTTGACCAGGTCTAAATGGAGGGTGGGATGGGGGAGGGGGAGAGGTTTCAGAGCCAACTCGCCGCGGGGAGCCGGAGAGATAACCCCGCCCCCAGCACTAACGCCTTACCCCGCCCCCCAACCTCACGAGCTAGGGACAAGTTCCCAGGCCCCGCCCACCCCCGCCCAGTTCCTCAGGCCCCGCCCCTTGTCCCCCGCGCGACTCGTCCCACTCACCCCGGCCCTGCCCCTTCTTTACGTCATTCTCCTCCGCCTCAGACCCCGCCCCCTCACGCGTTACGCCCCATCCCCTACCGCCCGGTGTCAGCTCTGCTATGCCCCGCCCCTTCCTTACGTCACGCCCCGTCCCCTTCAGGTCCCCCCTTTTTCAGGAGCCTTGAGAGCGCCCACGTTGCCTTCTGCTCCTCTTCCTTGTCCTCCCGGTCCTCCAGCCGCTCGCCACCGCCATGCCCGGAGGTCTGCTGCTCGGAGACGAGGCCCCCAACTTCGAGGCGGACACCACAGTCGGCCGCATCCGTTTCCACGACTTCCTCGGAGACTCGTGAGTGAAGCCCTGGCCCGGCTCGGCAGGGGGCCACCTGGAGAGCCCCGGCTGGAGGGCCGGTGTCGCCCTGCCCTGCCCTGCCCTACGGCACCCCGGGGAGTTGCCCACGAGGACGGAGCGGGGCGGGCATCGTCTGTTGCCCCTGTACCAGCTCCCTCCCCTCACCACCGTCCCCCCTTACCTCCTGCCCTGACCACCCATTCCCCCTTCCTGCCCTTGCTCCCCTGACCACCCACTCCCCCTTACTTCCTGCCCCTGTCCCAACTCTCCTGACCTAACCCCCCTTACTTCCTGCCCACCCCTTGCCCTTGCTCCCCTGACCACCCGCTCCCCCTTACTTCCTGCCCCTGCCCCTGCCCCAACTTTCCTGACCTAACCCCCCTTACCTCCTGCCCACCTCTGGCCCCTGCCCCAGCTCCCTTAGCTACCCACCCCCTTACTTCCTGCCCCTACCCCAGTTCCCCTAACCACCAACCGCCCCCTTACCTCCTGCCCACCTCTGGTGCCTGCCCCAACTCTCCTGGACCTAACCCGCCTTAACCTCCTGCCCACCTCTGGCCCCTGCCCCAGCTCCCTTAGCTACCCACCCCCTTATTTCCTGCCCCTGCCCCACCTCCCCTAACTACCAACCCCCCTAATCTCCTGCGCCAGGTCCCCTAACTATCCCCCTTACCTCCTGCTCACCTCCTGCCCCAGCTCCCCTAAATACTCCCTGTACTCTTGCTCTCCTTCCCAACCCTCATCCCCTTATCTCCTGCCCTGCATCAGTTCCCCAGACCACCCACCCAACCCCCTCTTGCCTACCCACCTCCTGCTCCTTCAACAGTTTGCTCCCCTTCCCAGCCTTGCCCCCTGCCCCAGCTTCCGATCTCCCCAACTTAACTCCAGCCCCTCTTCCCTCCCCCTAGAGTCCTAGCATCCCTTTTTCCCCATCTCCCACCCCCCACCAGCTTCAGCCTGATCTGTGCACTTCTGGGTGCCTGATGTTTGGAGGGGTGGGGGGAGCTGTTGTCTTCTTAGACCTCAGGCACCTTGAATAAGTGGGCTTTTCCGGCTAAGGTGGGGGTTTTTGTTTTGTTTTTTAAATACTATTTAAATTTGTGTGTAGAAATTCTGGTTGTTGGGTAGGGAGGGGTGTGTGGAGCTGGTGTGGGGGTTGTGCTCCAGGGCTTGAATTTTGATTTGTGCTGCCTGTTCTCTGTCCTGGAATTTGCTCCCTGTGTTGTGGAGTAGACTTTTTCCTGCTAATTGACCTTCAGGTACATGACAATCCTAGGGTCATATCATTGACCCTAGTGCTTAGTTTTCTCTCTTAGGTCTTTCCTCTCCCATATTAGGAAGGTTAGACAGGTTAGTAAAAGGTGAAGTCACAGCAGGTCTAGTCTTTTCTTGTAAAATCTGGGCAGCCAGTAAATTTAAAAATCATTAACTACCAAGAAGCTGACCTAGGCCCTCTTTATCTAGACCCTCCTCCCCAACCCCTTGCAGTGATTAAAAAATGTCTTTGTCCAGGATGTGGCTTGTTAGCAATCTCTAGACAGTTAAAGAATACTCTATATTTAGATTATATCCTTTTTCCGTAACTGAACACACTTCAAAGATGTCCTCTCCTTTGTTAGGTTCTAAGGCCCACTATTCCATTCCCCGCCCCCAAGGGTAGGTGGGTTGTGTGGCCCTTAAGGCTTTTTACCATGGACACCTAACTTTCTTATCTTACTCTTTCTCAGAGACAGCCAGTTGGTGCCATGGATAGAGAGCTGGACTTGGAATCAGGAAGACCTGAGTTTTCCTTTGGTGCTTCCTCCATTTTGCATTCTCTTAAGACCTGGCTCTCTCTGGATGGTGCAGCTCCTCAGGCCACTGAGAACCAGGCTTTCTAGCACTGATTGTACTTTTCATTCATTCCCCCAAATTGAAGTAAAGGAGTTGGCTTCTTCTTGCTCCCCATTGCCACTTCCAGGATCTTCCTCTACCGCTATCACTCAGTAACCTCTCTCCTTTTTGAGGTTCATTCAGTCCTTATCTACCACCAAATTGGGTCTAGTAGCTCTTTATTGTCTAGGGTCCTCCAGGATGCTCAATGAACAGTTTTATCTTCTCAACTTCTACCGTCCTAGATGGGAACTGCAACTATCTATTGATAACTTCCTCAAATACCTTAATCTCTGTATTCAGTTCACCAAGACCTACTTCTCTATTCCAGCACAGCCACACACCCTTGATCCTGCCATCACTCTTAAATATTTCATCTATCTGTGGTCATGATCTATGAAAATTGCTGTATCTGATCAGTCCCTTATTATTCTACCTCTTCCTCTTCAGACAACTTAAAGGCAACTTCAGACCTTCATCTTAACCATTACCTCCAGTCCTTCTACCCCTTCAGTTCTTTCCCAAGCCACCTATGCCCTAGCTACACTCTTACCTTCCCCATCTTTGACCCCTTGGTGAGCCAGTTCAACTCTGCACTGTCATCTTCTCTGAGTCCTTCAACCCCCCTATCTTACCACTGATCTTGCCCTAACAACCCTTGGCTTTGAAATGCCTTGAAATATTCCCACCATCCATTGTCTTTGCTCCTGCTCATTTAGTGCTGAACAAAGCTGGAGAAGAATCATGAAACTTATGCCAAGTAGGTCCACTACAAATTTGTTACATAATCAACTGCACCTTTAGTATGGTAAGACAATATGCCTCTTTTTTATGCCGTTTACACCTCCCTAATCGATTAATTATCTCACCACAACACCTTCTCCAAGCTTTTACATCCCTCCTCAGGCTTCCCACAGCTCACCCTCCCTAGAACCTTTCACAGAGCTTGGTCTCCCCAAATTCTATCACTTTTCTCCACTCTCATTGGTGTCTCACCTGAAGAGCCCTTTTCATTGCTAAGGCTAACTCCTCAACGTGCCCAAGTGATCCTGTTCCATCCTGTCTTCTCCCGAAGATTGCCCCGTACTTTCCACCTGATCTTCAGTCTTGACCTGTCTCTTGGCTGTTTCCCCACTACCTACAAACATGCCCTTATCTCTCCTGTCCTTAAGATGGTTCAGCCAACCATCCCCACTATATCTCTCTTTTTTACAGCTAAACTCCTCGAGAAGGCCATGTCCATTAGGTGCCTTCTCTTCTTATCTTTTTGCAATCTGGTTTCCAAACTCATTCAACTAAAAGTGCTCTCTACAAATTTACTGATGATTTTTTTAATTGCTTTGTTTAATACCCTTTTCTCAATCTCATCCTCTTGACCTCTATAGCTTTTGACCTTGTCAGTTACCCTCTTCTCTTTTCTTTACTCCTCTCTACTGGTTCTCATTCTAGCTGTCTGACTGTTCTTTGTCAGCCTCCTTTCCTGGAGCCTGGGGTGTGGTCTCCAAGGCTCTGCGTGGGCCCCTCTTCTTCTGTATTATTTGACTTGATGATTTCCTCAGTTTCCATGATTTCAATTATTTCTGTATAGATAATTTTCAGATCTACTTCAGCCCTAACCTTTCTGCTAACCTGCAGTCAAGCATCTTCAACTGCCTATTAGACGTCTCCAATAGGATACATATATACATGTAAAATTCAGCATATCTAAAACTGAACTCATTATCTTTCACCCCAAACCTTCCTGTCTTCCTAACTTGTCAGTTGTCCAGGGTACCACCCTCCTCCCAGTCACCCAGGCTCACAATCTAGGTGTCATCCTTGACTCCTCATTTTGTCTCTCCCCATGTCCATATCTAGTCTGATCAAATACTGTCCTTTCCGCTTTCATATATCTCTTGCATATAATCCCTTCTCTCCAATGACACTGCTGGCTCCATAATGTTAGAGCCCTTATCATGGCTTTCCTGGACAATTGCAATAGCCCGCTGGTTGTTCTCTGAGTCCTTGCCCACTCCAATCCATCCTCTACTCAGCCTTCAAATTGATTTTCCTAAAATACAAGTTTAACCATATTAGCTCACCCCCCATTTAATATGCCCCAGGATATTGATTTGAGATCAAATATAACATCCTCTGTTTTGGCTTTTAAATTCCTCCCATAACCTGGCCCCTTCCCACCTTTCCAGTCTTACACCTTTCATCCATCCCCCCTACCCTCCCAACTTACTGTGAGACCAGTGACACTTGGTATTCCTCAAACAATGTGCTCGGATCTCCTGACTCCAAGAATGTTTACTGGCTGACCCTCTGTGCCTGGTATACTTTCCACTTCCACCTTCTGGTTTCTTTTCAAGTCTCAGCGAAAGACTAGCATTCTACACAGTCTTTCTTAGTTCCTTACTTCTGAGACCGCTCCCCATTTTATCCTGTTTATGTCTTGTTTCTTTATGGTTGTTGGCATGTTTTCTCCTCCATTCAACTCAGAGCTTCTTGAGAGCAGACAGAGTTTTTTGCCTTTTTATCCCCTACACATAGCACAGTGCTTGACACACATTGAGTACTTAATAGATTTGACTGATTTCACATCCTGCCTCAGACCCTTAACTGTATGATCCTAGGCAAGACACTTTCAGCCCCATTTTCTTCATCTGTAAAATGAAGATAATAATAGCACCTACTTCACAAGGTTGTTGTGAGGGTCGAATGAGTTAACATTTGTAAAGTGCTTTGCAAACCTCAAAGTGCTATATAAATGAGAGCCATTATCTTTGAAGAGGCAGTATGATAGTGTGACAGGGTAGGATGGGACCCCCCAACAGGCTCATTTCCAATGAGGCGGCCCCTGGCTCAGCCCCTCAGCAACCTTTGTGAGTAGGCAAGGCACTTCTCCCCACCCCCATTCTTTTTAAAAATTTTGAGTTCCAAATTCCCTCCCTTCTTCCAGTTCTCCTCCCCCTCTCTCTCTCACCCCACATCCCACTGAGAAGGCAGGCAATATGATGCCTATTATACACGTGAAGTCATGCAAAATATATTTCTGTATTATAGGCCAGTCACCTCTGTGGGTCTCAGTTGCTCATCTGTAAAATGAGAGGGTTGAATCAGGTGGCTTCTAATGTCTATTT